GATTCATAGTCTTGGAGGATCTCCAAGATAGCCAGGCAGACAGGTGTATAATAAGATGAAGCCCCACTGACAAAAGACGGGTATAAATCACACTTTAAGCATCTTCTCGGTTGCTCGAGGGAATCATCAGGGATTCGCCGCGCAGTCCTTGTTCCTGTACAGAATGCAGATGTGACATTTACTTTTAAATGTATCTGGAGTCTGCCTGATGAGAGGAATAAAGGCGGGTTCTTGCTAGTTTAAAGATATCGTAAAGGGAATCACTACCTCGTGAAATGGTGCCCTTCCTACAACTGATTTACAGTGCCCATGTTCAAGACTGCAAATTTGGTGGGGAGCAGGTCATAAGTCAAAAATGAGATGGCAAGAGACATTTTTGTCAGGAAATCTTGGGAATTGTGACTTTATCATTGTATAGATACCGGGACATGCATTCGTGGCTTAGGCCAACCAGCTTCCATATTTTGAAGGAAATTGATAACGACTAATTAGTTTCTGCTCATTCCTTTCTTCAACAACATTGAATTACTGTTCTTTAGAGGTATAGATGTACCAAGACAGGGAAACAGTGCAGATGTTAGAAGAAGAAAACAGAAACTGATTCCGACCTAATCTAGGAAATCACTAAAGAAAGATTAGGCTCCTGTTCCTTTGCAAGCTGTGATACAGTACGTCACATCAGACTGCAGCAAGGCAATGAGATGCTTTAGTAGAGATAAAACAAAATGAAAGAAACTCAGCCAGCTCGTCAAACCTTTTTACAAGTGTACCAGAAATAAACACATCAGATTAGACTTCTTAATTCAAAGGCTCACCAATCTAATGGTCTTTGTTGTTGGACGTTTTGAAGTAGAAATTCAGCAAATCATAAGAACGAGATAAAAGGTTGGAAGGAAAATTTATTCTGGCCAAATTCTCTTTAAAACTTTGTGTACCAAGGTACAGACTACCTTTTAGACTCTGTCTTCATGTTGATCATACAGCTGACAACATTTTCTGAGAACAACCAAGAAAAGTCACTGTTGGAAGATGCTATCTGAAAGGTCTTCAGAGAATTTGTCCAGTTTCTTGATTTATTTTATGTAACATAAGAAATTGAATTGGCATGGCCGAAATTGTAGGCATGATATGAGCCTCCTCATTGATAAAGCTCTCTCAGGATACGGGCAGTTACTGAATCGGTGGGAAGCATTACATTTTATGTATTAGTCCACACGAACCTGATTTCATGGACGACATTCTCCCGAGACCCCATTACACTATCTACTTAAAACTGGCGCGAGAATGGGAAAGAAGATAAGCCTGAAAGAACTATACATGGAAAATTAAGACATCACCATAAAGATATTGCAACAAGAATTAGACAATAAAGAGTATGGTAATTTAGAACAGTAGGCAGGGGTACATTAAAAAATACATTTTGAAGAGGTTTGACTTTTGTGAATTATCGATTTTCATCTTAACTTGTCAATTTAACGTTATATTGCTTTGTAACAAATCAGGACTGTTGAGCAAACAGTGCATTATAGCTATAATTGAAATGTGATTACTGTTACTGTCATCTCCTCAGGCAATGCTTAAAAAAACTATTACACTTAGTTTTAAAATAATGCCTGTCTCGATGAGTTATCCCATATGCATTGATTTAGAGGCAGCTTCTGTCATACGAGAGCCCGAGTTAAAACTTTATAGTGTATCAAAAAGGAACGGAAATGTCAGTTTAAACCTAACTGGCCACCTGCGCGGGATTCCTTGTGCCTGAAACTGACTCATGCACAAAATGAGATAGAATGGCCCATAAAAATGTAGACAGAGCAGAAGCACATAAAGTTGGCCTATTCGGCTGGGGGTAATATAAGGCCACGGGAATTTTATTTGTCGGTTCTCTGTCGGACATTTTTATGTACAATTTTAGTAAGAGGACCTCGTGAAAACAGGGCTGGGGGGAAAACTTGCATCTGGCTTTATCTACTCCCTGAAAATGTGTGCACAAATTAAGGAACAGACTTTCCCTCAGATTTCATTATGATTTTCCAATTTAGCAATGATTCCTTTTTTTTAAATCCGAGGACCAACAAATCAAATTGGTGCTGCCTAATATAATTATGCTGCAAAACCAATTTCATCTGCGGCATATTTGCCAAAGACGACGATAATGACGAAAATTTCGCCATTTCAGAGCCCTTGAGACAGCTGTGTATGATCTGTATAATAGTCACATCAAATACTTATTGGTTTCCGTAACACCGTTACGGAGAGAAATAGAGTTCGACAGAGCCACCTTCAATTTCTTCTTAACTCGCTGACTTGAAATGTATTTTGCAATAATTCTTGTTCTACAATCGCTTTTACTGTGGAGTTATTTCTTTGAAATGACAAGCATAATCCCTAATTTTGAATCACAGGCCATCTGGCCTTGAAAATCTTTATTCAGAACAGGAAGTGTAGCGTTATTGGCTCAGTCTAGAGCAACTCATCTATCTTAGTTACATGTCTCTCTCTTTCTGATTGAGTTCATGAATAGGACACAAGATGGAGTCACGCTTGAAAAATGATGTTTCAGAGCTGCCAATCGACAACCGAAATTGGTCCAATCTTAAAGCATTGTACTAAAATATCAGTAACAAAGAGATATATTTTTCTTATATGACATAGCTGAGACCACTTTATACATGTTGGAGAAATATTGCCAACACACAGTGTGTGCCTCTGCCCCTCAATTCCACTGTTATTACTGCCTCGTTACTTGTTTTGCTTGGCTGAACTGTAATAGAACGGCAGGTATGATGTCTTGCTCATTCTCGTCTCCCTATCAGGGAGGGTCTGGTAATGGGGTCCGAACACATCACCAGGCGGAGTGCTACCCTTTAATTTTATCCCCATCAATGGAAGACATCTGTCTCTTAAATTCCAGGGTCTTTAGAAGCTCATCAGGTTGTGGGGTTGAGTAAGCAGTAATGGGCACCTTAACTCGAGCGGCGTCGCGCCAAACCTTATCACACGGACAGGTGTGCATCCGGTAAAACAGCTTGGCCCTTTCTTATCTTTTGTCTCCCCACCAAATGTTCTACTTCAATGTTTTCTACAACAAACAGCTTAATTATCGCGTTAACAAAACAAGTCCGAGGTGTGTGGAGAATTTTTGAGGACCGGTTTCGCTCGCTCCCAGCCGGGAAAATTGGTACGTCTGGTCCCCCTCTCCAACCTCGGGGCCTCATGAAAATACATGAGGACGCTGAGCCATTGTGCGTCGCATCCCTCACTGCCCAGGGTCGTACCAATTTTGAGATGTCCAGGGGTGATAATAGCGATGGGATGAGTAGGGACAGATGCAGCTGCGGTTAACAAAGCCCTCAATGTAGCGTGCACTGAGTAACCTCCGCTTCTGGATCAAATGGTTGGGGGTTCAAATCTCGGCCCACCTGTCAGTGGTCTGATCCCGAGCTGCACCCTACTGGGTAGGGGTTACTGTCCTTTGGAGAGGATGTCGAGCTGTTCGGATGTATCTTTAAGGAAACCAACAACTTCTAGCACCTTACAAGAACCCACAACACCTTAGAATATTAAAAGGAGTATTGTGATGTGATGGCCATTAAACCTACTAGTCCCAAACTTGCAAATCCCTTTCCCTTTGTTGCTCCTCTATTCAAGAACCCACCAAACTTATCCATAAGAGTAGGTAATATGCCACTGGGTGACCTGTCAAAAACCTACCAGTTCCTCATGACCATAGGCCAGCCTGTAATGATAGCCTGTGTGACAGCTTAACCATACAGTAGTAGGAGTATATATGTTCGGTTTGCAATGGCCAAAACCTCTTAGTTCCAAACTAACAGCACTAGCCCTTAATCATAGGCTTGGACAGCTTTGGAAGCATGTCATCAGAACCACTTACATGCAAGCGCTAAGATGACTACAACGATAATGATGAAAATTTTGCCATTTTGGAGCTCTTGAGACAGCTGCGTACATTTTGTATGATCTGTATATAATATGCATCAAATCCTCATAGGTTTTCGTAACACTGTTACAAAGAGTTTGACAAAGTCGCCTTCAATCTCTTCTGAACTCGCTGACTTGAAATGTACTTTGCAATACTTATCGTCCCAGAACCACCTTTTTCTGTGGCGGTACATGCGTTTGTTTAAAATGACAGGCATATTCCCTTATGTCTACATCAGTCTATAATGAAGGCCTCCGACATGTTCCCACATATACAGGCAGAAGGTGGCCAGGGCGATGCGTTGTGGTGCAACCTCTGAAGGGGCGACAACACTTCGGAAATCTCAGTTCAAACTTCGACACCTCCTCTCCCCCAAGGCATGAGACATCCTGATGATTTTACCCCTCCTCCCCCAAAATAACCACATCCTTTTTGTTTTTGTTTCAGAAACTTTACCCATCCTCCACTTATCTTAAATGGTGATCCACAATACATGTAAAAGAAATAACTTCAACCATAACTCTCTCAGATTAAACACCCTAAACCACAATTTTAAAGACTCAAACAATAATGGTGATAGCACAGTTTCCTTTTTTAATAGTCTGACTTGGTAGAAAGACAACAGTTCTGGGACTAACTACACCTCTTAACTTTTATGATTTTTTTTCAGTTCATACACCTTTGTGACACCAGTAGGTAGTCTTCAATTTCATGCATAACACAACAAATGCTGCTGCAAGAGAAGTACAATTTTATTTTGTGGTGACTATATACTGTGTCAAGGCTACACCAGTTTACTACATGGTTTTCTGGAATAGAAGAAAGATTGTTAGAAAAAGAAGGAAACAATTGAAGACAAACACTGGATTGGAATGTTTGGAAGTTTTAGGCCCATGTTTTGTGACTTAGGAAGTACATGCATACATTCTGTTTTGGGTCACCAAGGCCTTGTTTAGTCTCCCTCTAAGAACTATGCAGTTCTACTGGTGTGGTCCAAAACGTTGCTACGATCTGACCATAATTTTCTGACATGTTGTTTCTTTCTTTTGTGTCACAGAACCAGACCTGCCGCCGCCGCCGCCCCCTACTACCGTCCTGTCCCGATGCACCTCGGAGTGTCGCATCCTTGGACATTCCGATCGATGCTGGATGCCAGTTCCACCCAACAACCACATCCCCAACACCAGCACCACTGGAAACAGCCGTTCTTCCCCTACTCACCCGAGTAACGCCAAACCCCACGCCAAAACCTTGTCCCCCAACCACAAACTCCACAGCCCCGACAACCTGAAAATCCTGGGTCGTGTCAAGGACCTGCACAACGAGATGATGAACCACATCGCGAACCAACCGCGAGAAAACAACAGCAGGAAGAACCACCACGTGACTTTCTCGGACCAGAGGCCATCACCTTCGGGCCATGCGTACACTTCCCCGAGTCACAAAAACCTGGACGCGCAGGGGAATCCCGAGGAAAACATAAAATACGTTCCTTACTACGACGACCCAAGATTTACAGGCCACGAGGGGCCGAGGATGAGCAAGAAGCCGCTGTGCTTGAGCACGTTTGATCCACACGGTACCATCAGGAGTACCATGAACAGTCGACTGAGCACTACAAGTTCCGAGGACAGCCACGAACCGAGCTTGTACCATGGTCGGGACGTGGTGGATATTTTGGACGCTGTACGGCAAAGTCCTACGAGCACGCTATAGCCCTTGCACATGTACACATAACAGAGACTGGTCTTACTGGGCCTATGTGAAATGTATAAAAGAAAGTTTTAATGGGCCGCCACTTGGAAAAGCTCTCACCTCAATGCCACGGGGATGAAAATCATCAAAATCGCTGGTCAGCATTACATATACCTACATCTGCCGGACTTTCAAAAGAATCGCTGTTACTTGTGAACATTGAAGAGGCACTAAGTGCTCAAAGCAGTGGAAATGTAATATATGATGTGCAGAGTTTATTGTAATGTTTGCTTTGTATTGTTGGACCAAAGCATTGCCTCTCTTCAATCTGCTGTTCACCACACGAATACTTACATCCCACAAGGGTTCCGCTGCAAGTCAAGGCTCATTGTTAATAAAATTATGAATAATATTTAAAGAATACTGTGAAAGAAAGATGTTAAAAGATCAGATTTGATATGTCGGATAAACTGAAAATTGTACAGGCACACTATTTTTGTGACGCACTACGCCTACTAGGTTGCAAATTAGTACTTGAATCCACTCTATTTTTTTGTGATGAAAGCTTAAATGTCGTCATTGAATTTGAATGATATGAAATTGTGGATAAATTTGACGCCTTGTTTATAGCATGATATTCGTCTTACAAACACTGTCTGTTGAAGAATTAAATTAAGGCCACACCAATTTTATTTCCTTGGTTCTTGGACAATTCATGGTGAAAAAAGTGGATATCATACAGTAACACAGGGGAGAAAATCTTGAATATGACAGTATTCACTCTATAAAACAGTGCACCAAGGTATCAACAAGATACATAAATCTTAAGTTTTTTTAAACTAATCTATGTCATTCCAGGTGAGCATACTTTTCTTAAGATCTGAGAACCGACAAATTAATTGGTGTGGCCTTATTTGTGTCGTGCAGAATTTTTATGTGAGCTATGAAATAGAGGATGCAGGAAGAAAGCCAGCTCGACTGTAGAGCAAGGGACAATGGAGGTTTGTTGTGACAGGGTTAAGCGACTTTTGTTATGCTAAAAGACGAGCACCGTTACATCAATTCCTCTCATTCCATACGCACTCAAGCCTGCCTCATGCCGTCTTGTCTTTGTTATGTTAATAAAAGTTGTACATACTTCACTTCCAACTCCTTTCTCTCCGTCTCACTGAATTATCAATATTTTCCTTTTCCCAGGGCCCTCAAGGTGGTTAGATTTTCTGGTCGGCGAGTTTAGCTTATAATCTCTAAGCAGATGTAAGGATACGGCTGATTGTTTTACACCTGTTTTTGCAACATTGGTACTCTCTTCAAGTGTTTCTTATTGAAATGTTTGCTCAGTGCAAGGAAAAGAGGCGATGAATGGAGAACTAACTGACCCTTCCCCATTTAGACTAGAATGGTTTTGTTCCATTACTATATTTTTGTGTTATCATAAAATTATTAGTATCTAATTTTCTAAATGCTCCCTTCCTCTTAAAAGAAAAGAGTACCAATGTTGCAAAAACAGAAATAAAATGCTAAAAATAATCAAGATCCTCCTTACATCTGCTTGGAGGGTGAGTTTAGCAGGGCGCCATACCTTTCTTCCAGGGGGATGTTATTCTTAACAAATCTGATTACCTTAATCTGGCAGAAGCAAAATCCTGTCAAAGGGGAAAACGTAATCTTCTTTTCTCAAGCCTGTAGATGGTATTGAGTTAAAACTGTTTGCAGAGCTGTTGGATTGGAACAGTGTGGGGCCTCTGGGGTGGGCAAACCATATACTAGTACTTTGCAGTATTTTCAATTTTTGCCTAATAGTATGTATTTCCTTAGAAATGTACTGTAATCTGTAAAAGCAGACTGTACTCCTTCCATAAAATTGAGTTGCTATTGAAGGCAACAACCTGATCCTCAGGCTTTGCTATCATGTTTTTCCAGATAAGCATGATTTTTAAAAATCTAAAATTGAATTGGTGTGGACATTCATGGAATATAGGATTAAAAACATAACTGGGAGTAAAATATGTTTTTTTTTCAATGCATCAAAAACCAGTTTCCTGGCTTATACATATATGGCAAATAGGTACACTACACCAAACAGTTGGAACAGATTGTTGATATATTTTGGCAAGACCAGCAATTAGAAAAAGAAATTAGAGCCACTTTGAGCACTTCTGTCAGTTCAATTTTGTGGTTTCAAACTCAGTGACCTCTGACAAAGGTCAAACTGCTCCATCTTGGAAAGAACCCAAGGAATGGAATGATAAGTGGCAGGTAAAACCTGTTAACATGGTCTGTTTTAGTCAAGGAATTCCTCTCGTCTTTTTTGGCTATTGCTTTTGTCCTTCAAACTAGAGAAGGGTCTTTCCAATTTTATGCCTACTTGGTATCACGAAACCCTTGTTACCAACAGTACATGATACTGTTACATACTAAAGAACTGAATTTCCATTGATGACTAGTAAAAAAAATTCAGCAAAGCAAAGCAAAGTGGAGCATGTACATGTATAGGAAAGTTTGAGGTTTGGAAAGGATCTTGAGTTACTGATGACACCACCTGCAATGTTCCATAAACTTGTGAAAGCCACAGGCGCACACTAGGCTTCTGGGTTGACCGGTAGCCACGGTGGGTCAGCGCTGTCTCAAGTCGTAAAGACAACAAAGGAAGGCTCCTGTCATGGGAAGTGGGCCTGAATGTCATGACCTTTGCCACAAGAAGCCTCCTCCAGCCATCATTATCTCTCAGCAACTGTTGAAAACATTTCCGCTACAGTACTTGTTTGACGGAAATCAACAGCTAATTTTCTAGTCGATAAAACAGAGTTTTAAATTGACAATTACCCTTTGATTATTGAGGGCCTGTGCTGCATGACCTTTAATGTAGAGCGCAATCAGCCATTTCAATTCAAGAGAACCCTGCCAATTTCTTCCATTATCAACAACATTACCTCACAAACTGCTAAAAGAAACATCTAAAAGTAAGTTTGACTTGTATTTTCATCAGTCAAAATAAAAAGTAATAATTTCTACTGTGACAAAACGGGCACAAACTTTCCCTAAGTTCAAAGGAAAAACAATCCAATTTTAACAGGATAAGGAAAGCATTCAAAGTTGCTGCAGTTTAACAGGCTAATCTAACAGTTAATAAACTTAAGGACACTTGAGACAGTTGATTATTTGCTTGGTTGGTTCTCAAAGGACAAACAGAAGTCACTGAATCATGGGTAGTTTGGCTCAGAGTTTAGCCTCTATCAGGCTTTAGAAGCAGCTGGAAGGAGTAGAAATTGGCCAAATAGACGTAACTTGCCAGGGGAGTTGGTCAGCTAAAGGAGTACAGTTGGCCACTCCTAACTTGCCAAAATGAGGAAAAGGGATTTAGTGACTGCATTGTAAACAGAACAGTAGCTTGGGTGCCATTCTATACAGTCTGCTGGGGCTTCCATACTTTCTTCCTACAAAATTGTATGAGGGAGCGATTATCAGAGCCCCAGAACACTAAACATGACTGCATCCAGGCTATGGAAGCAGCTAGAATGGCAGCACAGTCAAAAATCTTTTGAGACCTCAAACTTGATGTGAGAATGTAAAAACACGACCTACTAAGCAAAGAAGATGCATAAAGTTTGATATGGAGAGATGAAAACGACAAAACAAAATAGAGCTTTATTTGATATCAGCTGGCTCCAACAGGTGGTTGGTACCAACCACTGCCAATGTTAGACTTAAGATGACTACTAAAACTGTGTGAACCATACTTCAGACTTCTCCTCAAACCCTGTTGTCTGTTTCACTTCAGCATTATTCCTTGTAAATCTGAGAAACACAAGTCAAATTTTTGTGGCCTCTGCTGGCTTCAACAGGTGGTTAGTACCAACTACTGCCAACTGAAGACTATGGTTAGTATGGTATGCTCATTCCCTGAAACTGTGTGAAACAAAGTACAGAATTTCTGCTCTGACTGTATCCATGTTCTTGATGTTCCTGTTCAGCATTATTCCTTTTAAAGCTGCATCAATAATATGTAACATTAAGACCATACAAAAAGTCAATTTTCTGGCCATTTCATTTACAAAGAACACAAATGTAACCCCCCCCCCATTGTATAGTGTCAATCAGGGAGTGGAGGTACCAAAATATCATGTCCTACAAGTGTATTTAAAAGATGAAAACAGAGCTGTCAGCCATATTTACAGTACAGGCTGGTATTTTCTGATGGTACAACATTATGAGTTTGCCTCGTTGGGGCTGTTTTAGCACCAACCATAAATGTCAGTAATGTGAGATAATTGCACAAATATGCCGGAAAGTGGAAGTAAATGACGATCACATAAAAAGATTTTCAATTAAACTCTATCAATTTTGTGTGCAAACATGTTACATAACGCAGCTTTGAATCTGAGAACCACAAATCAACTTGGTGTGGCCTTTATAGCTGTCTCCAACAAGTGGTTGGTAACGACTGCCAATTGAGTGCTGCAGATGATAAACGCTCCGTCCCTTTTACCAAGGCTGGCAGTATCAGGCAGCGCAAGCTCTCCGTAATAAGGTGATATTGAATATGATGTATGATCTATTGAGGCCAATCTTTCTGTTTGACCAATGCATCAACCATGCAGAGCCAGCTGACAAATAACGGGTGGTGCGAGCGTAAAGGAGCGTAATTTAAGCGGAGTGCACGTGTAACTCAATGGTCCTTTGGGAACCTGCTTTAGACTTGATAGATACTTTTAAATGAAATCAATATCTATTAGATTGAGAAATATTGAGACAGGAGTCGTTCATTGGTAAACTAGGATTAGGCCAAACCAAACTATTTCGTTGATTCTCAGAAATTTCAGAGCAGTAGTTAAGATACAGCAAGCTGGCATAATTTTCTAAAAGCAGAGGGTAGGGAGGATTATATTGAATTTCACTACATTCACGAGTTTCCCATCCCCAGAATGCATAGCACCTGGGGGTCATTTGCATATCGCAGGAAGGTATTCTCTACTTGTTGTCAGATTCAACCCATAGTAAATGTATTAATGTTGAGCATAAAATGCCCCAAAACCTCAAACCACACAGAAAAACAAACTGTTTAACATCAACAAGACATGCAAATGACCCGCCAGGCGCTATGCATTCTGGGGATGGGAAACTCGTGAATAAAACTGAGAGCGCCAAGGCATCAACCCGGTCCTCAAAGTTTTGTTTTCATTTCATTTTTTGGCCCACGTTTTCTCCGGGGGGTGGCGTCCATAAAATTTACTTCCTGTGGCGTAAATATATTTTTAAGAGCCATCAAATCAAATTGATGTGGACGAAGCATTATCTTTTTCAATTTGAGAACCAATAAATTAAGTTGGTGTGTCCTTACCAGGGCAGTGACTTCTGTAACCTTATTTCACCTCTTATAGAAAGATGCACACTCCAGCATGATCTCTCTGACAGTGTGTAACTCACGAAATGAAAGTCCCTTGAGCTGAATTAGTTGCCCATTAGGCCACACCAATTCATTTTGTTGATTTTCTGCCATTTTTTAGAAGAAATGCAACAAGAGGTCAGGAGAGAAACAAAACCAGAAAGAAAAGTTGAATTTCATTTTATTTTCTCTCTAAAGAATTGATGATGTACCAATTAAGGTACAGTGTTTTCATGCTAATCATGTCATTATATATAATTCAAATTTGATGCCAAAGGCTTCTTTATCCTAAGGTCACATTTCCAAGCCAGGTACTGGCCAGGCTTTTTGTGGGAACAAAAAATTAACAATTGACATATCAAGAATTAGTGACACACAAGACATAGTGACAAGAAATAGTTTTTAAGCTATACTT